GCCCAAATGCCACGCCTGCCATATCGCGGTGAGCAGTCTGCCCTGGAAGCAGAAGACGTTGGGCACCCAAACAGGCAAACCGCCTGAGACATCCCCATGATCTGAGCGCGAATCCTTGATTCGGACCCCCCTCGGGGCACCCAAATGCCACGCCTGCTATATCGTGGGCAGTCTGCTCTGTAAGCAGTGGATGTCGGGAACCCAAACAGGCAAACCGCCTGAGTCGGGCGAATCCTGGATTGTCCTCACCCACGTCGGCCCCCCCTTGGGGTGCCCAGATGCCACGCCTGCTACATCGCTGAGCAGTCTGCTCTGGAAGCAGAGGAGGTTGGACACCCAAAGAGGTAAACCGCCTGAGTTCTGTTCACAATCTGGGCGCAATTCCTCGAGTGTCCCCACCCCTGGCGGCCCCCCCTTGGGGTGCCCAAGTGCCACGCCTGATAGATCGCCGTGATCAGTGGCCGAAGTGAGGGTGAGTATGAGTGCAACTGAGTCTGATTGCGAGTGAGTCCGAGTGAGTCTGATTGCGAGTGAGTGAGATTGAGTCTGAGTAGGTGAGTGCACGAGGGAGGCGGGTGTGAGGTGAGGCGGGGAGCGTCGGAGTAATAACAAAAAACCAGCTGAGAACATGGGGAAGAAGAACCCCGTTTTATTGAAGCTTCTAAAATTATGCGGGAGGCTGGCATCTGCGCATTTCCTATTGAATTCCTGTTGAAAACGAAATACTCGACGCGGAGATCCCCATCTGTGCATCTCTTGTCCTGGCACTTTCTGCTGCGAGCGTCTGGGTGCGAGTGAGTTTGGGTATGAGTGCGCCGAGTATGAGAGTCTGGGCGCGGGCAAGTCTGAACGCGAGCGAGTCTGAGTGTGAGCGAGTCTTAGTGTGAGTGAGTCTACGTATACGAATCTGAGAATGACTACATAGTGTCAGTGTATCTGAGCGCGAGTGGTCCAAGATTGGTTGGGCCTAAGTATGGAAGAATATGAATAAAAGTATGGGTGTAAACGCATAGGGATATGAGTGACCTGAGAGGGGAAGCAAGCGGGAGGACAGGGGGCGGGGGTCCTGCCGGAGGAGCTGCTTCATTTGACCCGAGACGCCGAGAATCCGAATAACGAGACGATAAACGACTCGCCAAACTACGATTGGCACCCAGTGTCAAACCTGCAGCATGCAGGGCTGCTGCAAGTCGAGGTAGAGGAAGAGGCCTGAAGAGCTTGAATAGCTGCACCACTCTTGCAGCCGAACACGAATGGCTGTGAAGCGCGCGGACTGCGACCGGATGCCGGCCGGCCATTTGCTCGTCGATCCTCTCGTTGACGTTGATAATGAGAAAGCCTATCTGGGCCATGGAGCTGGACCGTATGGTGTGCGACATTTGCTGCATATGCTACCCCATCGTCTCGTACAGAAGAAGCTTGCGTGCTCGCCGCGGGTACGACCATACCCGCCATGCCTCCGGATCAGAGAGAGAGAGAGAGAGAGAGAGAGAGAGAGAGAGAGAGAGAGAAAAAAAAAAAAACTGTGCTCGGGACTTGCCCGAACGGGCCGAAAAAATGCGCGAAATTGATCGAAATTGGGGACACGTGCACTGACTGGCCTCCCGTCGGCCGAAGATCTTGCACCAGCCTCTCGGCCGCGACCAGGCTCGAAGCGCCAAAGCGCGCGTTTCGACCTTGAGCCAAAATGGCTCGAGCCAAGATGGCCGCAGAGGGGGGGGGGAAAGGGAGGAGGAGGAGGAGCAGACAGACAGACAGCAGACTGACAGACAGACAGACAGACAGACAGACAGACAGACAGACAGACAGACAGACAGACAGACAGACAGACAAACAGACATGTGCGTGGGATCCTTCGTCAGCTTGACCTCTAAACGGTAAGAAATTTCAGCAAAGCTTGGACCCTGGGGGGCGAAAACGTTTCGGACGCCAATTAAAGCGCGGGGGGCCGCGCACACGTCCCGGGGGAAGAGCCTGCCTGGAGGCACACCTCTCCACCAAGCCACCCGCACGACGGAGCCCGAAGGCCAGAAACCGCCTTACGGGCACCCGAGAAGAGAGGGGCCCCCCAGTCAAGAACCACCCCCTGACGCGCCGCCCCACGCAGAGGCAGGCCCTCGTTGCGGACACTTGGCCCAGAGGGAGGCCTCGGAGGGGGCTGGGAACTACCTCTCCCACGGGAACCCCGACCGCGCCCACGAGGCGCCTGACGAGGGAGGGAAATCGTCAGAACAGAGGTCGGGAGGGGGGCTCGGCGGGAGGCGGCCAGCAGCCTGAAAAGCCCTAAATCTCTCGTTCCGAGACCTGTCGAAACTTGCCGACCTCGACAAAACATTATGAACTGCAGGCGCAGCCTCAGACTCACCACCCACCAAATTCCTCACTTCAAGGCTCGTCTGTCCAAAACCCTTGTAGCTCACATCTAGTTGATCATCTTCGATAACTACCGATAAAGGAGGGCCTAGTGAGACTGGGCCCGCTATGCACACCGCCGCCATGTCCTTCATCGCCTCGCAGAGAAGGGCCGCCAGCTTGGTGCCGTACATGTGTGAGAGCTCCACCGCGTACATGATGAGGCCCTCGTCCGTCCCTGTCGTCGTCTGCCGGTCGCCCTTGCCCTTGCCTGGCTTTCCCTCGTGCACTTTCCACCTGGGGCACGGGGCCAGGGCAGCCAGCTGCTGAGGGGAGCGGGCCATGATCACACCCTTCCACGTGCTCGCGAAGCCCTGCGCCAGCTCTGCGTCGCTCAGATTGCCGTCGGCGCCCCGCCATTCCATCGGCGTCGCGAAGATCGCCGCGTAAGAGGGGGCCTCTGCTTTCGCAGCCCTCCTGCTCTCCTGATCGCGCGTTGCCGCGCAGCACCTTTGGCTGCACGTCGCACGCCTCGCCCGTTGCCTCCTCTGACTCCGACAAGCCGCCCTTCTTGACCTCGTGCCTTCTGAACGCCACAACAACCAGGTCCTGGGCCTCGCGGGAATCCGCCAACACGAGGCGCCCCATCATCGTCCCCTCCGCGTCGCGGAGGTTCTCGTTCCCGCCCCCCTCGCCCGCGCCACGGCCCCCCCCGCGCGGCGGCTGCCCCACGTGCATCGCCGAATCCGCCAGGGCCGCAGGGCCAGCAGGCTGCCCCCCCAGCGCCACGCCGCCGCTGCCGTCGCCGCGCTGACCGAGGGAAGGGCCGACGCGGCACCACCGCTCTGGGCGGGTGCTAAACCAGATGGCCACTGAGGTGGTTTAGGCCCGCGCGCCCAGTCCCAGGCAGTCGGCACCCCCAGCGTTCTGGCGGCACTAGCCCATGAAACTGTCGAGCCACATCTGGAAGACAGTGCCCCCGAACCAGGGACCGAGCGAGGCGGCGACCAGCGGCTTCCCTTGAACTCAGCATCGCGTGACATACCAGGTACTGGTCAGTGGGAGACAGTACATGGCCAGCATTTCGCACATGATGTTTTGCCCGAAGATGGCTAAGCAGGCCACATGTCACACGAAATGCCGCCTCGCACCTCCCACCACCACCTCCACCCACTCACACTTCCATGGGCGACGGGCCTCTGGAGCGGGAGGGGCCATAACTTCACGAGGCGGCCGGTGCCCAGGAGGGGGCACTTGGACAAGGGCCTGAGCCAATCAAATAAAAGCGACGCCAACGTTGATGAAGTCGGGCGCCAACTCGGGGCCCACGAACCGACAGGGGCACTCTGAGAGCTCTTCCATGACGAGGGCCGCCTAGAATCTGCCAAGCCTCCCGGGCATCTTCCTGGACGCGAGGAGCCCGCGGGGACGCATGCTTCGTCGGACGATCCTGTAGCACAAGGCTGCGCCCGTCAAACTCCTGGGCTGGCAAGCGGCCAAAAAGTGCGCACAGAAGCTGGCGGTGACTGCCAGGAGAGCGCGCAATCTGCCCGCACCAGCTCAAGCGCCGAACAAGTAGCTCCCTGGCGCTCGGGACAGCTTTCAGCACTGTAAAACTTGAGCATTCGACCAAATCGTCGCGCGCTCACCATCGCGCAACGCGCCTCGGCCATGCAACGGAACACCACAGGCGCGGCAAATGAAATTCCGAGTCCCCGCACTGCCGGGGGGGCCACCACCATCGCCTCCAGGCCGCTCAGTGAAGCATTCTGGACGAGACCGACCAGGATAATCCGAGTCCACTTACAGGGGCACCTGAAAGATCAGAGCCCACCCATGGAGTAGAAGCCCGACGACGACGCCCCCATACACAGAGCAACTTCAGGACCTGCGACACCAGACAGGGAAGCGCGAGTTACAAAATATCGCGTGCACTCCTGGACCTCGACTCCGAGAATGGAGACTGCGCGCCGGCGAAGCCATCGCTTTACTTCGTTACCGCCATGCCCCGACACGCGAAATAAGGTGACCTGCTTGCTCACGTTGGCCCCGAACCCCACCTTCTCCAGCTCCCCCTCGAATGCCTGGTCCGACTTTCTCGTCCACGCCAGAACCCCCGACATCCTCTGAAATCTAGATGCCACTGCAAAATTCCAAGCATCACCGGCGCATTTAAGGGGGCCGAGGTTCGCGCTCACATCGCTCCACTTCGCAATGAGAGCCCGAGAGGCACGGTGATCTTCCCGATATTTCCTAGAGAAGATGGGCCTGCTGAAGGTGCCCCCGAACAGTGAGACGACAAATTGGCCCCCCACGGCGCCCCCCTCGCCTGATTGAAGCCACGAAGGGGCCCCGTCAGACGCTGGGGGACAGGCGCGCGACCCGCGGAATCTTCGCACGGCCAACGGCACGTCCCAATAATTCGCAGCATGCAAATCCATCGCGGCGCCCAGCTCAGCGCGGTGGCCCGACGCGAACGCATTGATCATGTCCTCCAGGCTCGCCGAGAACGCGCGATAAGAATGTCGCAGCCTCCGCGCCACTCGGGCCGCCATGAACGCCCCCTCCACGCGGCGGCGCTCGATGAAGCCGCAGTCGCCCACGCCGAGGGGCGCCTTCAGGATGTCCGCGTAGAAGCACGCGCCGAGTGAGTTGAGGACGCGAACAACTCCCTCGCCTTTCACTCCAGAGGCCCCGCTCCTGCGGAGCCCCACCGCCGAGCTGCGGCACCAGTGCCTGGGGGCCCTTGCCGAGCGTCTTGTCATTCGAAAGCTCCCCGGCATCGCCTGCGAGAAGCTGGACATGTCGGGCGCCCCAGCACCCGGGCCCACTCCCCAACGCCCACGCACAAGCCGCTCATCAATACAAGGCAGAACTGCCACGGTTCGACAAGCGGGGATCTCCCTGGCACGGCGCGTCGTCGTCCAGCCTTCTGCACCGCCCATGAGACTCGCCCGAAATCACTGCGAGCGCACTCCTCCATCTCGATGCTGAGGTCGGGCAGCGGCGCCTCTGACGCCTCCAACACGGGCGGGTCGACCTCCACTGTCGGCATGCCTCCCGACCTCCCTGGCTGCTGCCATGCCGTTAACTTTTCCTCTGGTAAGCTGGGCCGCTCGGACGGCGAATCCGTCGCGCTTCCTCGGCCCGAACCTGCATCGACCCGCTTCGCGAGAGAGCCCCATCGCCAGCGCCAGCGCACGCGCTCTCCAGGCCGCCTCGAAATCCTCCGCGTGACTTTTCTTTGCTGCTCGCTCTTGTCGTCGTTGTTGGTGTAGCCTCTGCGTTACCTCCTTGAGTGCCGTCTTCAGTTCCTGCAACCCCCCACTCGCCTCATCCTCCGTCGCCTCACAAGTCTCGCGAAGAAGGCCCGCAAACCCGCGCGCCGCGGGGCCCACATCGGCGCACATAGCAGACATGTCCACCGCATCCTCCAAGGACTCGCGGGGAAGGCGCCCAACCACGCACGCTGCGGGACCCACATCAGCGCACGTAGCAGACAGCAGCCTCCGTCGCCTCAAGGGACTCGCGGGGAAGGCCCGAAGCCCCGTACACCGTGAGACCCACATCGGTGCACATAAGAAAAGAAACCCCCGTCTCCTCGAAGGGCTCGGGGGAAGGCCCCCAGCCCCGCACGCTGTGGAACCCACATCAGCACACATACTCGAGATACTCGCCGAAATCGTCGCTGTCGGGCCAGTCGATCCGCACGTGGTCATTCTCTGAGGCCTCACCACCGATGGGGTCGCCGATCCCCTTGCCCGCGTGCATGCTGCAAATAATCCTAGCAAGGCCCGAAGTCCAGCTCGGTGTCGGAGAAATTCACGGCGCGATGCAGCATCCCCTGGTACTGTTCACCACGTCCAACTCTGAACATTGTCTGACCAGCCTCCACCAACACCCTATTCATACAGTCAAAAAAAAAACTTGTCTGGGCCGCCTCGGCGTAGCATATCCGTCCACATTGGGCATTCATCTGGCAGTCTGTCTTCCATAAGCGTCAGGAAGTCGCGCTTCAGGTCCCATCCTCTACGTAGGGCGTCCATCATCTTATCCATATGCCACTCCACGCGTGGAGTCCTCAGAATCTGCGCAGAGAACTTCGGAACGCCAATGTGCAGCATGATCGGCACATGATCTGGGGCTTGAACGCTTGCAGCTGCGCGCCCAGTCCACACAGCGTATGACGCTGCACAATCATATCAGCCACGTGCAACGGGGAGAGCACGAAGTCTATTATAGAGCTGCCGCCGTTGGTATTGAAATAGGTTGGGCAGACACAGAAACGAGCGTTCGCCTCAATCAGGGTGTGCTTGGCTGCATTCCACCGTGGTATATCACCGCCTCCCAAGCGACGAATTTCTCTGGTTGCCGCCTCCTCCGCCACTACTCCGTTTTCCACCCATTGCCATTCGACTTAGGCCCACACCACCTCGGTTGGGGAAGGAAGCACACTACTATCAAGCAATAATCTTGGCAGCTGTGTTTCACCCTGACCGCCAGCGATCGACATTCCGCTCACTTTGGACTGGACCACCCACGCACGATATCGTTGAACTGGTAGGAGCAATTCAGGATCACTGCGCAACCCGTGCTGCTGTTCGTGTAGTGCCCTAGGCGATACTCGCTCTCGATGATCCACTGTCCCTGGACACGACGATGGAATGACTGTTCTGTTTTTCTGTCACACGCCTGCGTCCCTCCCAACAATACAAAATCAAACGACCTACAACTCGAAACAATATCATCCAGCCTATCGCCTCGAACACTCTGAGGGCTCCTTTGCGGTTGCTGCGGAAAAGATCTGGCCTGCTGCCAGCTGAATCGCTCGAGAAACCATGGCAGCTGGAGGAGGAGGAGGAGGAGGAGGAGGAGGAAGAACAAGAGCAGCAGCAGCAGCAGCAGCAGCAGCAGCAGTAGCCTGAGGGCGAGGGCAAGGGCGGAGGGCGAGAAGGACGAGGCGGCGCCTGCTCTGCGGTGATGTCGCAGACGCCCTGCTCGACACATTGCTCGCCCATGTCGAAGGTCTTCTCCTTCTTAAAGCGCAGCTTGTTCGGGCGCTCTGGGAACAGGAACACCTGCTGGTCAAGATCAGCCAGCATTGAACTGGGAAAGCGGACCGAAACGAGATGTGCGTCGGATCGGGCTGCACCAGTGCGGAACAAGAACCGAGTCGGATCGGCCGCGCCAGCGTGCATAGCACCGCCGTGCATGCATCCGGCCGCATCGGACCGCCAGAACATCGGAATCGAATCGGATCAGGATGGCCAGAACTGGTATCGAATCGAATCGATCGGATCCAAGTGGGCCCTGCGGGACGGCCGTGGATGCCCCAAAGCCCTCACCCCGCACTTTCGGCCGCGAGGCCTCAGGAGCTGCTGATGGCTGCGGCTCCTCCAATTCCACATGCGCGCGGGCATGAGTTCTCCACGCCGGCGTTGTTGTTGGGAGGGGCGCGACGGGGCACGCGAGGGCTTGGAGCCCCTCTCTCAGGGGTGCGCAAACATGGATTAACGATCCATGGATTTGGCGCGCGGTCGCCAAATCCATGGATCGGGGGAGGTGCCTTCCCCAAAATGCGGCCGGTGTCGCCTCGCTCGGCGGCGGAAATCCGCGATTTCTCATGGGAACGGGACCCGTCGCTAATCCACGCCCCCTTGACCCATGTTTCGGATCGCCTGACGCTGGGGCCCCAGATCTGGCCAACATCGGCGTCTTCCCCCGAAACGCCGACCACGGCAGTCGCAAGTTGGTTTTGACTCCACCGACATGTCGGCCAGCGCTGACACACCTTCCCCAAGACAGTGCACATTCCCAGAGAGAGGGAGCGGTGCAGCTTCGATGGGCCAGGGCCAAGGCCAGGCGACCTGCCAGGGATCCAACGGGGACAGGCAGCCTCACCCGATCAGGGAGCAGGGCGTGCACAGAGCCCCCTTTGCTTCAGCAAGGCGCGCGCTCGTGAGCAGGTGCGGCGCCCGCGAGCACGTGCCTCGCCGAGTGGGAGACAACCGCGAGTCGAGCTCTGCGGCGCGCCGGGAGGGCACGCACAGAGCTTGGCGGGGCAGGCGTGGTGCAGGCGCCGCGGCGACGGCTCCACGGACGGAGGCTTCGCTCAGACGGCTCGGCCCGCGACTGCCAAGGCTGCCTCGACGCCCCTGCCCGCACCAGCAGGGGAAGCAGAAACTGAGTATCGTTTCACCGATCCCCATCCCCAGCGGCATGCCCTGGGCCCCGCTAGCCGAATTACCCCCCTAGATGGGGACATAGGTCGTTCTCTTCGGGTTTCGAGGGGTGTATCCCCAACTGGGGTTGTAATTTGGTGGGGGTCTCGAAGGGGACGGAGGTGGGGATGGGGATCGGTCAAACGATACCGAGAAACGGCACGAACGAGAACGCGGGTCCAGAAAACGAACCCCTTTGCCGAAGGCCCAAGGCCCCGTGGAAGCATCCCAGAAACGAAGAGCATTAAGTCGGGCATGTTCCCCTACAGGCAGATTTTCTACGAAAAACAAAAATTACCCTAAAAAATCAAAAATTATCAAAAAGCACTCCAAAAATCGTCCACCGACTTTTTTGCATTATTTTTGAATATTCCCCCTGTAGAGGGACGGGCCCGACTTAACAATAGCACTCCAAGGTGGAGAGCCCAAGCACGAAGAACACCCGGGAATTTCACCCCTCCAAGACTGGGCCGTTCTGGGCCCAGCATTAAATGGCCTTCTCGGAGGTCCGCGCGGATTTCTTGCATCGACGCTGGACCCCCCCTCCTTGCGTGCGGAGCGCGCCATCAGGTGCCGCTGGAGGCGCCGCCAGGGGGTGCCCAGCGCCGATCCAAAAAATCCGCGCGGCGCTCCGACGGTTCGTGCTCTTGCCATTTTGCCTCCGATCCGGCCCGTGCCCGCCGAAGCGCTGCAGAGCTCAGTTCACGGTTCCCTCAGCTGGCGAGGCACGTGCGCGCACGCGCCGAGCCTGCTCACGAGCGCATGCCCTGCCGATCACGAGACGAGCGGACTTCAAGGGAGGGCTCTGGGGCAGGCCTCTGATCCCATCCCGTCCCTCCTCCTCCTCCTCCTCCTCCTCCTCCTCACCAGCAGCATCAGCACCAGCACCAGCAGCAGCATCAGCATCATCCCTCAACGTCGGCCCCAGGACCTGTCCGGGATCTCGACGCGGGCCCAGCCGTGGCGACGAGCAGCCCCCCCCCCACCCACCCGAAGGCCCAAAGAAGAAAGCCTCCTCCTGTTCCTCCTGCTGCTGCGCTGCGCCAGCGGCCGAGGTCCCTGCCTGTGAGTGCAGCTGGCAAGTGGGGCCCTGCCAGCCGCAGAGCCCGGGCCGCTTCTGCCGTCGGATGGCACGACAGGGCACGACACGACAAGAGGGAGAGGACGACGGCGGACGACAGGACCAAAACCGACAGAGAGGGGCGGGCGCTGACGAGGCGAGGCCCATGACGACGACGCCAGCAGTCCCCGCAGGTGGTCACGGTGGCAGCACCAGGCCCGTCAGTGACCTCCGGGCGGTTGCAATCAGCACCGATTGCAGAAAACGCTCTACAAGCCTTTTCCGTGGCCAACCCGTGCCCCAGCCCAGACACGGATCCAGGCCCCAGCTCATTCGTTGCCCTGAAGCGCTGAGGCTCCTGCGCCTCTGAAAGCGCTCCCGCCCGCCACAGGAGAGGCCCCGCGGCCACGTGCGAGCCTGACTGCCGCTGCTGCCGAGGCTGGTCCCGAGGGCGCCGAAGGCCCACCTGGTCTCCTCGTTTCGTCCGTCTCCAGCGGGGGGCGTGGCGCTGGTGCCACGCAGTCCAATGCGGAGCCGGAGAGGGGACGAAACGCGATGGGCAGGACACAAGGAGGGCTACTAGGCAGACCCGCGCCGACTGTAGGTGTTGACGTCGGACTCGCTATCGTGACAGTAGGCGTTGGAAGAGTGGGTCGGGTTATAAGAAACAAACAGGCAAAAATATAAACTGTCGCAGGTCCTCGCCGATGTCTTGGGTCGGCACTGGACCCACTGGCGGCGCCGATCCAAGAGATCCGCGCGGAACTCCGAAAGTGTATGCTTAAGTTGTTTCGTGTTTATTCGGCGGTTGTGATTGTTGTGACCGTTGTGCAGTGGTGATAACGGTACTCGCGGGGCCATGGAGCTCGAGAGCGCTCGTGTGGTGGCGGCAGGCGGCCATTGGTGCGTTACCTGTCGCATCTTGCAGTGTAGGCTGCGTTGGGGCAGGGCCCGACATGGGCCGAGAGGTCCTATGCAGGTGGCTGGGTCGCCTGTGGAGCATAGGTGGGCTCCTGATGTTACTCGAGTGACTGGCTCGTGGTGCTGGTCGTGGCCATCGTGATCATGCGCGACGATTGAAGCAGACGTGGAGCTCAACCCATGTCAGCGCTGTCGTTCCCTCGTGCTGTGGACTGCCATCTTCCACGTCGACGGCGGGCGTAACAGTTGTCATGGGGTCACGGTCATAACAAATGTTTCGGTTCGTGGGGTCCTTCGCGGTGTCTGCGGATGATCGATGACGTTAGGTCCGTTGTGGGTGCAGCAAGTTTGCCCAGGTCGCACTGAGGCAAAATGGCGTGTACGTCCTCGGTCGCGTTCTGTGGTTCGACGAGGGAACGGATGGTGTCGGTGCGGAGCGGTGTGAGTGGGTCATCTGGTGGCTGATCCTGCAGAGATGACCTACTAGAAGCATGCCCTGCTGGTCTGTGTCAAAACGTTCGTGCGTTTCGTCGCTCTGGTGCTGGTGCTTGTCGCCCGCTGGTGGTGGTCGCAACGCGCGCGCAAGCCTGCAGCTGTCGGCGAGCTGTGCCGCGAGGCACGGCCGTGAGGCCCGTTCACATCTGCTGCGGCTGCGGCACCACGTCGGTCGGTCCCCGCTTGCGGGCCAGACCAGATCATTTGGTGCGTGCGCTGCCAGGTCGTTCGGAGAGGAGCTTGCGGGCGTCGCCCTCCTCTTCCTTCTTCCTCCTCCTCCTCCTCCTCCTCCTCCTCCTTCCTCCCTCCTCCTCCTCCTCCTCCTCCTCCTCCTCCTCTTATCTGCAGGCCTCCCAAGTGGGGTCCGAACAGACAAAGTTGGCGAATCGCGCCGATTCGCCGATGGCGCAGGTCGGCGTGGAGAAGAGAAGAGCGGGCTCCACATCGCCGCAGCATCGCCGACCCATCGCCGATGCGCCGCGGCGCCTCTGGCCCCATCTGCTCAGAGACAGCCTGGGAGGTCTGCATCCTGCCCCCTCCTCTACCTGCTGCTTCTGTGAAGGAAGAAAAACAGCATAACCACAAGCTTTCGGAGGTCCGGGCGGATAACCTGGATCTGCGCTGAACCCCCTCCCTAGCGGGTACCAACGCAAATCCAAGAAATCCAGGCGCATCTCCGTCATTTCATATTTGTGCCGTTTTTGTTTCTTCCAGACTACGTAGCGCTCCGCAGCGACCCTCCTCCACCGCGCAGCCGCGCGGCGCGCGCGCGCGCCCGACGCCCACGCGCGGTGGCATGGTTCGCACGCCTGCGAGCGGTAGCCTTCCGAGGAGAGGGGAGAAGCAGGGGAAGGAGCACGTGCTCTACTGCCAGGACCTTTTGCTCAGCGTGCCGCGGAAGCGGCCCCGGCCCCGGCGACACGCCATGCCCTGCGAGCGGATGGCGCTCCGCTCCGCGGGGCGGGAGGTCGGGAAAAGCTCGGGACGTGGACGCCTGGGGACTGGGAAATGGTTGCCGCGTCGCGCCGAAGCGCGGTGGGCCAGAACCGGCGGCGCGACACGGTAAGCCATAGTTCCTGACCGTATCCCCGGTGATGTTGCCCCTCGTGGTTGTCGGGCCTCAGCTCGGGTCTCTGGCGGCCGTCCCAGCTCGGGTCTCTGGCGGCCGTCCGGGACGACCTGCGCACCCCCGGGACGCCCTCGGCAAAGCGCAACCGCTGGAGAGCATCCCGAGGCTGGAACACCGCAGCGAACCGACGACAACGTTCGAAAACCTCGAACCTAGGACCTCGAACCCATGAGTTCTCGACCGTAACTGCTTCCCCTCCCCGTCCATCAGCCCTACCTTGCCCCTGGCGGGGTCGGCGAGATCGGGAGCACGGGCGGCGAACCTCCACGTAGCGGTTCGCCTTGGTCGCGGCGGCCCTCGGGCCAGCGTCACCCTGGGCCAC